AACCTTTAGCATGCAACGTCCTCTCTTGTGCTGGTGCTAATCTGTCCATCTGCAGGTCAGGGGGCAGCTCCTCAGCTGGTAAGAGTGGCACACTTTTCTTTCCACAGCAACCCCCAATTCCCTGCTTACACATCAAGAAAAGTACAGCAATGGGCACTGGCAGCTGCAGGGAAACAAAAAAAGTTATTGGTTAAAATAAGAAAAAAAAAAGCTGCTACGAACGCCCCCAGTCGACTGCAGGTAACATGCTTTGTCCTTAGCCACTCAAACCAGAATGCACTCTGTATTAGCACTGACACTGAAAAATAACAGGCTCAGACCTTCTTCCATGCAGCATTGGTGGCTAGAATGATTCCTAGAGGATCTGAGACAATCATTAACAAAAACAGAAATTGCTGAAGAAACTCAGCAAGTCTGATAGCATTTGTGGAGAGGATGCAGAGTTAACATTACGAGTCCAGTGCCTTCTTCAGATCTGATAATAGCTAAGAAGCAGTGATGACAGGAGATCATAGGGGTAAAGGAGTGAGTGGGCAGGTAGAGACGGAGCCCGGAGAGAGTATTTTTTTGAAATACTGTCACACTCTCATTAGAATGATGGTTTAACCTGAGGGTCACACTGCCTCAGGTGAGGGGAGAGTTTGAGAAGGAGAATCCCTCATGGTAACCTCAGCTAGTGCAGGAATTGAATCTGTGCTGTTTACTTCACCCATCACCAACCAACTATCTCTGACTCTTCCTTGCTCCTTCACTTGAATCCGAGTGAGACTCACAGCACAGAAGAGCATCGGCAGTTCTTACTATCCCATCCAAGATAACTGATCCTTTATAAAGAATCCTTAATTGGCTGGCTCAACTAAAGAGCCAACATAGACGTGATTGGCCAATGGTCTCTTTCTGTGCTGTAAAAAGGGTTTTATTTGAGCTATTGTTGCATCTTTTGATGACCATCCTATGACTATTATTGGAAAGTATGAAGTGTGCTGCAACACTGTGCTTACCAATATTCACTCATCTCAATCCACATAGACAAGGAGAACCACGACTTCGACTGGGACAACACCAAGATCCTGGGACAGGCTAGGCAGAGACAAGCACGAGAATTCCTGGAAGCACGGCACTCCACGAAGCAGGCTATTAATAAACACATTGAACTCGACCCCATATACATTCCACTATGGAGGAAACCCAGAAGTGAGGTAATCCAGCTCAACGAACCCCAGAGTTTAAAAACCAGGCGGGAAAACACACCGACGCTTCATCAGAGGCTGCACTGAGGATGTTGCGCAGCATGGTAACGAAACGTCTGCAAAACAACAAACCAGCTCGGCGAGCCAACCAACCTCAACATGTTTGAAGTTTAGTCACTGCAGTGGTAACTCTCAAAGACAACTGGGTGGAGCTAATCAAAGAACCAGCACACTCAGTGTGGACATAATGGCCTTCTTTCATACAAATAATCTATAAGATAGGAGTAGGATTAAGCCATTCAGCCCCTCTAATCTGCTCCGTCATTAAATAAAATCAGGCTGAGGCCTTGACTCCACATTCTCATTAACCCACAATAACCACTGACTCCCTCTGAGTCAAGAATCTATCAACCTCCGCTTTAATTTGAAACAATGACCCCACTTCCATCGGTCTCTGGGCAAGAGTTCCAGAACTTCACAACTTCCTGAGAGAAAAAAAATGTTATTTACGTCTCCCCCATAAATGGGAGGCTCCTTTCTTATTTAAGCTGTGCTCTTTATATTCTAGGCCAACAAGCGAAGTATCCTCTCAGCATCCAATCTGTCAAATGTCCTCAGGGTCTTACATGTTTCAATAAGATCACCTCTCATTCTTCTAAACTCCCAGGGACATAGGCCAAGCCAATCCAACCTTTCCATGTAAGATGACACCTCCATCCCAGGGTGAAGCTTCTCTGAACTGCTCTGAATGCATTTACATCCTGTATTAAATAAGGTTGCCTCATTGTTTGATCGTACATTTACCTGGCTCAGGTACAGATTGTTTGGCAACAAAAGCAACTGAAGAAGAGTCATACTGCACCTGAAATGTTAACTCTCTGTCTCCACAGAGGCTGCCAGACCTGCTGAGGTTCTCCAGCAATTTCTGTTTTTGTTACAGATTGTCTGGATGTTTCATACATTTGCCATTTCTGGTATCTTGCATACAAACTGGCTGCCATCCTTCTCGTCTTCAAGAAATACTTGGGTTTGGAGGTGGGGGTGGATTGGGTAGTTCCTGATTAACGTACATCCTATACAGCAGCAGGAGGCAATGGCCTAGTGGTATTTTCACTGGACTGTTAATTTCCGGATGCAGATAATGTTTTGGGGAACCTGGGTTCAAATCCTGCTGTTGCAGATGATGGAATTTCAGTTCATTAAAAAAAAACCTGGAATTAAGATTCTACTGATGACCATGAATTGATTGTCAGGAAGGAAAAACCCATCTGCTTCACTAATGTCTGTCAGGGAAGGTAACTGCCATCTTTATCTGCTCTGGCGTATGTGTGACTCTAGATCCACAGTAATGTGGTTGACTCTTAGCTGCCCTTTGGGCAATAAATCAGCCAGTGATGCCTTCATCCCAAGAATAAATAATAAAAAAAAGAAGTTTTTCCACAGATAAGATCTCTTTGAGTGGTTCCAACCATCTGAGGGGATCAGAAAGGGATTTCCAGAGGGGATTTTGTTCTTGAACTGCCAAATCTGCAGAATGGGCTGGAGGTAAAGTGAGGTTTGGATGTGGAAGAAGGTCACAGTGCACAGAGGGCTAGAGGCTGGGAGATACCATTAAAGTGTCTGGTCAGGCTTCATGGACCAGCTAGCTAGTCTTTTCCTGCCTGTCACCATCATCTGCTCGTGTAAGTTCAGATCATCCTGGTATCATCATATCTTACATTGACCAGTGCCATGATCCAGAAGGCGTAGGACACTTGCGAGATGACAAGCCCGTCAGTTGGAAGCACGAACTGGGTCTCATTAACGACGTGGTGTGGGACCAGGTACTTCCGAATGTGGGTCAAGTCAGAGAAAGTCCCATTCACAGTTCGGTTGTTCTGTATGCAGTTTGTTTCAGAAAGGAAAGGATCGGCTATCATGGGGCTGAGGAATGCACCAAAACCAACACAGAAATGAAGAACCTGTTAGCAAAGAAAGAAGGAGGTTATCAAACCAAGCTCCCAGTCAGTCAATCAATTAAGAAAGAATGAGCACCTCTTAGAATTACAATATTTTCAAGAAATGAGCCCCACAAGATTGTCGAAAGCTCTCTCTCTTGGGTTGGCGACCCATGTATCTGCTGCCCTTGGCTTTCATAGAATCCCTGCAGTGTGGGAGCAGGCACATTTGGCCCATTGACCCTCTGAAGAGCATCCCAACCAGACCCAGACCCAACCCCTACATTTCCCACGATAACCCACCTAACCTGCACATTATGAGCAATTGAGCATGGCCTATCCACCTAACCTACACATCTTTGGAATATGGAGGAAACTTCCACAGACAAGGAAACAAATGTGCAAACTTGACACAGGTAGTCACCTGAACACAGAATTGAACCTAGGACCCTAGCACTATCAGGCAGCAGGGTTAACCAGTGAGCCACCATGCCACCCAATTGATATAATGAGGATATCTCAAAGCATCAAGAAATTACAACCCAACCTATGCTTGGCCCAAAGGTAACTTTATGCTCTGTGTCAGTGCTTTTTGTATCAAATAGAAACTCGTGCTTTTACACAAACTGCATTTAAATCCAGTTAGTAGAACTCTGCTGTTTGACTTGTTTGCATTCAGTCCAGTAAAGGGTTAACTTTATCTAAAATAAAAAGCAACTGACTGGAAAATTAGATGTCCATGTTTAACATTGTGAAACTCAATGGTAGGTGTAGCTTAAATAATTTGTCTTTATGTAAAGAAAGTGGAACAGAAATGTCAAGCAGTTTATTTATATTCAAAATATCATGGCTTTTGAAGTGAGTTACATTTTGCTCAGAGTCAAGCAAATCACATCAACAAGGAAAAAGAACGAAATAAGCTGAAAATTGAGCTCAAATTCCTGTCAGCGCATTGACCTTCATTGTTGAGGCTTTAATTTGATGCAGAGTTTGGCCTTGGCTGACAAGTTTAAATAAAATTCAGATCAATTACTATCCTCAGGCTAATTCTTCAGAAGTGGTTCATTCAAATCACTATTATTAGTCCCAAATAAAAATGCCAATATTAAAGCTTATGACAAGTGAGAGAATCAGATTTGAGTTAATTTATGTCAAATGCACCTGCTTTGCTTCCAGCCAGCATAACACATGTTCTTATACAAATGATAATTTACCCACAATCTTGTCCCCATGTCAGGCACAATGCAATCAGAGGTTTTGCTCCCTCATCTTCTTTATAGAGAGCTTAGGGACTTGTTTTATTATTTTTAAAAATTTCTTTAAAATTTCATTCATAAAACAAATGGCTGGACAGCATTTATTGCCTATTTATTGGCTATTCCTCGTTGTCATAGAGTCATACAGGACGGAAACAGATCCTTCCGTCCAGCCAGTCCATGCCAAACATAATCCCAAACGAAACTAGTCCCACCTGCCTGCTCCTGGCTCATATCCCTCCAAACCTTTTCTACTCATGAACCTATCCAAATGCCTTTTAAGTGTTGTAATTGTACCCACATCCACCACTTCCTCAGGAAGTTCATTCCACACCCAAACCACCATCTGTGTAAAATATTTGCCCCTCATGTCTTTTTTAAATCTCTCTCCTCTCCCCTTAAAAATGTGCCACCTAGTCTTGAAATCACCCATCCTAGGGAATAGATAACTACGACTAACTCTATCTGTATCTCTTATATAAACTTCTTTTTGGTCGCCTCTCATCCTCCTATGCTCCAGTGGAAAAAGGTCCCAGCCTGTCCAGCCTTTCTTTATTACTCAAACTTTTCATACCCAACAACATCCTGATAAATGTCTTCTGAACCGTCTCCAGCTTAATAATATTCTTCCTGTAACTGGGCAACCAGAACTGGACACAGTATTCCAGAAAGAGGCCTCACCAATGTCCTGTACAAACTCAACATGACTTCACAAGTCCTATACTCAAATGACTGAACAATGAAGGCAAGCATGCTGAAGATCTTTTTAACCACCCTGTCCATATGTGACCCTTGAGGGGGTGGTGCTGAGCTGCCTTCTTGAACCTCTGCAGTCCATTTGCTGCAGGTGAATCCACAATGATGACTGTGACGCAGCATCTTGTTCAGTTTGAGATGAAGACTTTCACCAGATTAGAAAGTTTCAAAACAGTCAGGTTTAAAGCTGGATCAGGACCTGCTTGCACACCAGCAGCCTCTCCCTGCCTAACCCCGATCTTATCTAAACTTCTGCTGTTTATATCCTGAACTCACTTTGATTCCTGTTCACCTATCAACCCCTGTGCTAACTGAGCCACACTGGCTCTCAGCCAAAACACTACAAATTCGAAATTCTCATTCGTGTGTTCAAATTTCCTACCTTAGTCTCATTTGAGCCACCTGCATTGTTCCCAATCTCTGTAAACTCCTCCAGCCCCACAAGCCTTCGAGACCTCTGCACTCCTCCAACGTTGGAGTCTCTCACTCATTCCCAACTTTGACTGTTCTGCCATTGGAGCTGGGTCTTCAGCTACCTAGTCCCTAAATTGTGGAATCCTCTCCCTCTTTGCCTTTAAGATGTTCCTTAAAACCTACCTCTTTGGATAAGTTTTTAGTCACCTGTCATTTCAACTCCTATGTATTCCCTTGATAACACTCTGGTGATGTATTGGAGCATTTGTCCTATTTCAAAGGTGATATATAATGGAGGGAGCTATCTTCTACTTTCGGAGAGTTTTGGATATGCAACAATTGAACTTGGTGGCCCCTAATTTATGCTAATATTCTTACTGAGTTATATGATACTATCACAGGCAGTGGAGAGGGGGTGGGGGAGGGCAAGTGGTTGGGGAAAAAAACTGCGAAGGCACTCCTATTCATGTAGTGAGGAAGGTTGTTGGAGGAAAATACACATTGATAGTTGATGTGCTGGAGGGTGCTACATTAAGTGATAATCAATGCAGCTGGACATATTGTCGCACTCCATCCTTGGCCCATCAAGTCAAAACTGAACCCTGAACCTGTGAGCCAGAGGGCTGGACACTACTCACTGTACCTCAAAACCTCCTGAGATAGAAGATAAGCCATGGATTTAAGGGATGATCGTCTAGGCTGAATGGGTTGAGCCGATCCCTGCATTTACTTTTTTCATGTTCCCATGCTTGTGATCCTATAGATGATGAGGAACTCTTAAATAAATCTATCAGAAGACCATTATTGCCCAACAAGTATGTGCCAACCTGCAGGAAGACAGGTGAATCCTTCTGGTAGATGCGAACCAGTTGCAGATTAGCGATGGTGTCTATGCAGCCCATGGCCAACCCAGCCACAGCCAGGACGAAGGCAAGGATAATCACATTGTTACAGAAGGGGATGATGGAAAATACAGCTGATATCAGGAGAGTGGAGACAAACAGAGCACTCAGGGAGCAGGAGAACCTAATAGAGAGAATAAAGAGGAAACCATTATTAAAACACGCAGAGAAAAATCATGGCTTTTCAAATAATGGGCATGGTACTTGGAAATGGTACTGCTACTGACAAGGTTTACAGTCACCTCTCTCCTCTCTCTTCCTCCCTGTTGAGAGAAACAAATTTGTGTAGGTGATGAAAATCATGTAGACAAATGAGTTATAACCGATAGTCAATAAAAATTGGATATCAATAGACCCAGCTTCAAATTCCGCTACACACAGGTACCTTCTAGACTCTTAACTTGAAAATATATGAGAAAGTATTAATATGTCTCAGGAAACTATAACAGGGACATACATTCCCCGTAAACCCTAACACCGGACTCACCTACCAAAGGCAATCATTCCTCTCTAATTTCTTCTTTACTGGATACAATGCCTGATTATTCAAGAGTTTCTAAACCATAGCTTATGCTGTGACTTTATACTGGAATTTTATTCACCATTATTCGATACTCATGGGGCAAAAAAGACACATCTACCAGGTCACATTATGTCAGGTTGACCACTCAAACCAAGCCTGTCATCCTGGTGAATTCATATAGCATTCCATCCAAATACCAATATATTCTCCAAGGTTCAGTGTCTAGATGTGCTCTGCAGATAAAAGAGGAAGGCACTGGGAATGTTGTCGGGAGCGGCATGAGTCACTATCAGTTTTATGCCTGAATACAGGACCAAAGCAAGCCATTCTGGACACCACATCTTAAGAAAGGATGGATTGGTCTTGGAGTCAGAGCAGGGTAGATTTACTAGAATAACCAGAAAAAACAAAGAATGCAGGAGCTGGAAATCAGAAACAAAAAAAACAGAAATTGTTGGAGAAACTCAGCAGGTCTGGCAACATCTGTGCAGAGAAGGCAGAGTTAATGTTTTGGGTCCAGTGACCCTTCTTCAGAACTGGGTTGACATATATGTTGAAGATGTGGTGAGGGGTGGGAGGAGTAATAAGTGATACATGGAGGTGGAGCCTAGGGAGAGACAGAACAACAGTTGGACAGGCAAAGGAATGGGTAAAGGTCAATGTGGGACAATCAATTGCTGCTAATGAGGACTATTAAGTTACTGACAATGGGTTGGTTGTGGCACCAGTCTGAAGGATGGTCACTGGACCCGAAACAATAAATCTGTTTCTCTCTCCATGATTGCTGCCAGATCCGCTAAGTTTTCCAGGCATTTCTGCTTTTGTTACTAGAGTAACACTTGAACGTCCGAGTTCTCAATGGTAATCAAACAAATTGCAGTGGTATTCCCTAGAATTTGGTAAGTTATTGGATGATTCTATTGAAGTTTACAAGATATTAAACAGAACATTTAGAGCAAGCAAGTCGTTACTTCTGCCATTTGGGGAGATAGGGACATTGTCAAAACTTTAGAGTGAGACATTTCAGTCCCGAATTCAGGAAACATTTATTCGTGCAGTAGGTGGTAAAAGTAAAATTGAGATCAGCAATTTTTTTGTTAACCAAATACATAGAAGGATATGGGTCAAAGACAGGTCTCCTGTGTTAGATTGCAGATCAGATATGATCTCATTGAGTGGCTGAATAGATTCAAGCGTCATATGGTCTCATTCTGTCCCTATTAAGCAACGGTTTAAGGGAGATGGTAGCACACTGGATTAGCAATCATAAGCCTTACATTAGTGCTCTGAGAGATGGGTTCAAATCCTATTGTAGCTTCTGAAATTTAAATCCCATCTTTTAATTTAAAAAGCTAGCAAAGGTGACAATGAAGCCATCGTCAATTGTTGCAAATACACATCTTGTTCACTAATACCTTTCAGGGATGGAAATCTACAGTCCTCATTTGGTCTGGCCGACATGTGACTTCATTCCATTGCAATGTGGTTAATTTTTAATTGTTCTCTCTGAAATGGTCCAGCAGTCCACTCAATCCAAGGGCAGTTGGAGAACGGGTGACAAATGCTGCCCCCGATGCCAATATTCCATAAAATAACAACTTTTACAAAATTGTGATTCAGCTGGTAAAATTCAGATTTACCTTTGATTGTTTACAAATAAGGAACAGAGAGCCAGCAGATAACCTATCCAGGAGACAGTGTGAGTGTTTTGTCACAAATATTACATATGGGTGTTCCAGTTGATATAAGAACACCACAGAGTCTAAACAGCAGCACAGATTTCTTACATACCCACTGCAACAAGCATATCTCATTCCCATTCTGCACCTCCAGCCTGGATTGCTGCTCAATTAAACTCTGACTGATCTATATCTTAGCTCTATGTAGCCAGTGTGAGTCCATAACCCTTAACAACGCAACTAACCATGATGTGGAGATGCCGTTGTCGAACGTCATCTTGACAAGAGAGCAGCGCTTGGAAAGCTTGTGATTTTAAATAAACCTGTTGGACTGTAGCCTGATGTCATGTGACTTCTGACTCTATCCTGACGAACAGAATTCCTTCACTCTTAGCTTTGAGCTTTTCAATCACACAGTACCCACTACCCTCACTCCCCCACCAACCTCAACCTTAGAGGAGACAGTTCCAAATTTCCATGAGCTTTTACGTGAAGTAATTCTTCCTAATGGAACATTCTAGGTCTAACTATAAGGGTCTGCTCCCTTGTTCTGGAATTCTCAGTGAAAGCAATTTCTATGGATCTGGCAAGTGCACCCAATCCATTAGCACTCTCTTCTCGCATTGTAAATGTTGGCTTACCCCTTGAATAAGTATTTCTTGAGAATTGCCCTGCTGAGTACACGATGTAAAGCTTCAATAAAATGTGTCTTTTTCGTCACCCAGCAATGCTCAAATTGTCTCATAGAGCAGCACTCCGTCAGTGCTGGCACAGAGAGTCAGCTTGTATTCTGCGCATAAGTCTTGGGAGTGAGACCTGAACATTCAACCTTCTGACCCTTTATTGTCTGTCCGCCCACTGTTCCCATCTCCCACAAAAGTGCAGCTGCACTCAATCGGACTTTCACAAGGGACTGCCGGGTTAGGAGGATTCGCAAAGCACAGAAATACTTTGAAACTTGCTATTGTTAAGACATGCATTGAAATCTCACAATGGTGACTCATTAAAGTGAACAATCACTTCATTCAACATGATTTACCCAGATTTAAGCGAAATAAACCTGGATGCATGATTTGAAGTGACATTTGTACGTCAAGGGTTTTAAACAGAGTTAGGAGCAATACAATAGAAAGCACATTATTACTTTATTTGTTAAGTCATGTGCATTTAAATCAACAATCGAAAACAAGCCATTATCAGCTGGGAACTGCACACAAATCACCAAAAGGACAATTGAAGGATATGTTATATTTAGTTAGGTTTTTCTTGCTGCAGTGGCGGGGGTGGGATATAGTGGGAAGGGGAGACGAGACACGGTCTAACTATGAATGGGACAAATAAACATAATTTAGAACCTGCACCTATTCCGTTCCCTAATCAGATTAAATGGGTCTTGCATGTATATAGAATTGGACTTGTATCATACAATGTGACATTGGTATTGTTTAGAAGAGAGAAACCTGGCACACGGCAACAAGAAGACTTGCTACAGGATGCACCTGGTAAGAGGAGACACTCTGTGGGATCCTGGTCAGACCACTGAGGGTTACAGTAGAAACAGTTAAGAGGCTATATGAGCAAGAGTCAATCTTAAAAAAAAGCACCTTTATATATTGTATATTGCATTTATATAGCACCATTAACATTGGAAAACCTTCCAAGGTGTTTTGCAGGGACATAAAAACAAAAACTGATGCCAAGCCCAAAGAGGGAGTTATCCATTTGTGAATTATTCAGGCAGGTAGCCAAAAAGCTAATCAAAGTGGATGGTTTTGAGGAACATCTGACAAGAGAGGCTGAGATGTTTACTGAGCATATTTGAATTCCAACCTTAGATAGCTGAAAGCACTGACACCAATGCTACAGGAAAGGAGGTTGATGATAGCAAAATACCAGAATTGGACAAAAGCAGATTTCACTGAAAGTTGTCAAACTGTAGGAGATAGAGATAGGGAGGGGTGATGAGAAGGCAGAAAATGATGCCAAAATTCATGACTGGATGGGTGAAGAAAAGGCAGGCTGAAGGGACACAGGAATGTAGTGGGTAATTTAGTTAGAATTACTTGTATGCAAGGAGGGTAAATACTAACATGCACTGTTTGGGGCAATTGTTCCATTTTGTGTTATAACCTGTATATCTTTGGAACTCCTAATGAGCATGAAACCGCAGACAGAAGATGTTTGTGTTAGATAATCAGTCTCATTGCCAAAACTAGAGCTTCGGTGAACAATAAACTAATGTTTCATACCAAAATCACTGTTCTGCTGTGTGTGGAATTGATGTTTGAGATATAATGGTAGCCTTACAGAACTGAGCAGGAAAAAGAAGGTAGAAGATTAAGCACGATTCTATTAAATAGCAGAATAGGCTCAAGTCTGAATGACCTTATTTCTTAAAATCCGTCAAGGTCTCTGCACTCCTTCCATTCTGGTCTCTTGTGTATCCCCAATTTCTGTCGCTACTGAGCTTTTGTTGATCTGGGTCCTACACTCTGAAATTTCCCCTCAAAAACTCTCAGCTTCTCATTCCTGCCTCTTTTCCTTTAAGGTGTACCTTACATCCTACCTCACCTATCCTAATAGCTCCTTATGTGGCTTGTAGACAAATTCTCCTTGCTGACACCTTGGGACTCTTTCGCTACGCTACATAAATGTGATTGTTGTTGAGGTGCCATAGGGAGTGTTATTTCACTTTTAGCTTTCTGACTTGCAAACAGTTAATTTAGTCACTGGTTATCTACATTAACGACAAAAACATGTTGACAACACATTCCATGACACATGATTAACTGCAGTAGAAATTAGCCTAAAAATTTAGTAATAAATAATGACAGGTACGATAAAGCATAAAGTTTTGATTTCAGTGCTGGGCAGCTAGAGCACACTGCCTTCACTGGGTGGAACATTATTATCACAAATAAG